CAGGACAAGCATCCCTGCTTTCTCACATTAAAGCATTAGCTTTCTCTGGACAAGAATCCACAAATCATTTCCACATTAATCAAATATTTATGGAAGGAGGCAGGGCTCAACATCTTCACAGTAGATTCTTTTCTTGATAGTAAATTTATGAGGCTGGTTTATATCTACAATAGCATACATGTACATTCTTATGGTAATCCATCATTTTTGAAGGCGTATTCTTTTGTTATCGTTCTGCATTCACTCTTGGAGTTACAGGCATTTATTTATCTCCTCCTCAAAATGTTGGGAAACAAGCTAATACAAATCTCAGGACATCAGAAAGATGACAACAGATAACACAGGAAAAACTATTCCATAATCCAATAGAAGTAGATAAAATTCAGTACACATCAAAGTAATTTCAGAAGTAATTTTTGTATCTCTAGAGCAAACACCACTTAAAAATTTCAAATTGTTCTACGGGGTGAACCAAAGAAGTCACGAGACTAGGGAGTTTCATAGTCTGCAGAATTACCTCCTAAGCAGTACATAATCACCCAGTAAATGAACTCGCTCTCTTTCTGCGTTCTCCTGCCGTATTTTCAGACTTACACCACTTGAAAACACATTAAAATAATCAAATTTCTCATAGCTTAGTCTGCTGGAGTTCTGCCCCAGCTGCCTTCAAGCCATAAAGTATCTCTCATCTGGGGCCTCTTATATTTTCTCCCCTGTGTTTGTTAGTCTAAATCAGACCCTCCTGTCACTGTACTTGGAACATGGCCGCTTTTGCAGATGTATAAAATAAGGTCTAAAAAGAGTAATTTGTTTGCCCAGTGTCACTGAGCAAGTCAACAGTCAGAGCTTGGAGCGGGACTCGATTTTTCTGAAATTTGGGAGTATAAAAGAACTCATGGGGCCATAGTGCCTTTCTAGGAATTGCTAACAATAAATTACTTAGGCACCTGAAAATATACACCTCACTTCAGAGAGTTTGATTAAAAATATTGCCAACTGAGGTTATGAAATGAATCATATTTGTGAGACAGGGAGGTAAATTCTAGATTATTTCTTTAGAAGAATAAGGGGAAAAACACCCAGCAAAAAACAAGTTTCCCAAAACTTTGGAAAGCTCATTCTCAAAATCAGTCAGGTAGTGGCTTGTGTAACGGGAGATGTGTACACAGTGCTGCTACCTAACCAGAGGTTCTTACAAGCACTAGTGTGTGCAATCACATTAAAACACTTCCAGAGAGGATTTCACGTCAGGGTAGAGATTAAGACTTCATTTAAAATTCTCTTTATATTCCCTGCAGTGACATGTGAGGCCACACAGACCCCTCTAGGCATGCAGAATGGTGGAGGCTCCTTCCTATTCTGAAAATGATGCTCCCTTGTTTTTTGTAAGATTTGCTGAACTAGCAAACCTCACAAAAATCCCAAACCAGTATGAAAACCAGTAAAACAGATTTTGGTATTTTTTCCTTTTATGCCTTTGATGAAATTTGGCTTTATTACTATTAATTTTAGAACTTTTCACTACAGAAAACATCTCATGGTCATGATCCTACAGGTCCTTGGACTGTGTTTAGCAGGTATCTTAACTGGGAGTGAAAATTATCTATGGGGTAGGAATAAGAACTAGATCTTGATGTAATTGTCTGTTGTGACTTACAGCAAATCTCAAGACCTTTGCATTTCATTCATCACAAAAACATGCAGGATCTGGAGAGGTGTGAATCTAGACGGCTCTTGGTTAAAAATGATCCTGGATGCCCCAAGTGCCACTTACCTACACCTTTCTTTTATCTCCTTGTTCTTGCTAGTAAAAACACAGTAACTTGGTAACTGTACAATAGTGCTCACTAATGCAAAACTCAGCTCCCTACAGCTTCCAAAATGCTGTCTTCAAACTGAGCTTCTGCCTGTACCATTAAAGCAACCTACCTAATCTGTATCAGTCTCACTCCTGAAGCTTTTCTGGGAAAGCAGTCTCCTCCCAAACGGAGATGTCACAAAAGTTAAGCACACCCTAATAAATCAGTCTCTAGCAAAACTGGCTGCACTTTAAGAAATTAAATCCTCAGAATCAAACAGTTCCTGCCAGAAACCCCCCAAGGATGTCAAGATGGCTATGCTGGTGACATGGCATTCTCGTGGAGACCTATCCATGGCATTTTAGCACTGCAAAGCCAGAAGAGCAGTTCCTTTGTGCAGGACATATCGTTAGTGCATCATTGCTAAGATGATATACTACTGCTTCTCCCCTCACACGGATGGGCTGCCAAATTGCACACAATTTATGTGCAATAACAACCCCTTACACACCCTTCTGGTCAGTGCACAGATGCTGGTGAATCATTTTAGGCCCACCTTGTCTTCAATTTGTCATCTCGTTTCATAATAACCCTGCACCGATGTGCTGGTTTTGGCTGGGATACAGTTAATTTTTTCTTTTCACTACAATTTTTTATTATTACATTGTTTTATTTTATTTCAATTATTACCCCTAAGGGACTGCAGTCTGTGAATAAGTCCAGGCTGGAGCAGGGACAAGGGGAGGAGTTCGTTGCAATGCTAAACCCGATGGTCTGGCTCAAAGGGGCGAGGGGTGGAGATTGTAATGGAAATACCTTTGAATTGTTGTAACCCATGATTTGAGTTGCATGTTATGGGAATTACTATAGCAGGAACCACCTGAACCAATGGACGAGAAGCCTTACAAGAAGCAGTGCAAGTGCAGCAGTGACCCGACCTGACCTGGCTTTGGTGCCCAGCAACTCCACACAACACACCACCTCTCCTGTCCTGAGTGACCACCATCACAGATGGAGCCCAAAGTCATGGACTAAA